AAGCAACCTCCTAACACAATATTGATTCCTCAAATGCAACTTACCTTCTGAACCAAGTGGTGTTCACCACGTTCCATATCGAAATCAACAGTTGCTCTCCCACTGACAATCTCCAACAACAACACTCCGAAGCTATAGACATCTGATTTTCGTGTCAAATGCCCGCTAACAGCATATTCAGGAGCAAGATATCCGCTGTTTTTCGATTTTCAGATCAGCAGTTGTTTCCTGAAAGTAATTAACATATTCAAACGTATTGATAGAAACATCGACTTACATTGTGCCAGCAACACGAGTACTAACATGAGAAAGGTTCTCTCCAAACAACTTCGCCAATCCAAAATCCGCAAGTTTAGGCATAAAATTATGGTCGAGAAGAATATTGCTAGCTTTTATATCTCTATGAACTATATGCGGGTTGACTTCCTCATGAAGATAGGCAAGCCCACGAGCTACTCCAATCAAAATGTCCTTTCTGGATTGCCAACTAAGTCTCATTCTATTTTCCCCCACACCTATTGATCAAGATTTTAGAAGCATAATCTAAGTTCAGAACCATTGTCTTTTCTAATCACAGCTCAAATTGAGTTACAAATGCATATAAATCATTAAGAAAATGCTATTAGTTACCCTGAAGAGCATGAGCAAGGCTGTTGTTTTCCATGTAATCATAGACCAAGTATCTTTGACATCCATCAACATGAAACCCTTTAAGCACAACAAGGTTTTCATGTCTGATATTAGAAAGTGAAGTCAATTCAGCAATGAATTCCCTTTCACCTCTCATAGATTCAACCTCAACAGAGAGCACCTTCACAGCAATCTTCCTGCCATCATGAAGCCGACCCTTTTGAAAGTCAACCACATTCAGGCATTTTATCAGACACCTTACGGGCATTCAAAACAAAAACAAAAAAGCCTGATACAGGGGCATGGCAATACCTTGTAAACGGAGCCGAATCCGCCCTCTCCCACCTTATTTGCCGCACTAAATCCATTGGTGGCCGATTTAAGCTCGTTGTAAGAGTACACACGAAACCCCTCATTATCTTGTCTATCTGCTTTGATTCGAGCAAACCAGTCAAAGGGGGGTTTGATTTGATAATAAACTCCGCAAAAACTCAACAAATAACAGAAGAAAAGCTCACCGTGCCGGCTATTTTCCATAGCATTAAGCGATCGAGAAGAACAACAAGTAGAAAGAAGAGATCGAAACTTCATTTGGCTAAACAGAATCCAAAGAGAATCACAGAATAATCCCAAGTGGGTCAAGTGGGGATTGGGGGAAGGGTGCGGGGTTAAGAAGGCCGCGGGTTTGAAACGTTCATGGGCAAATTAGGAGTATTAAATTGCAGCCTGTTGACGACCGATCGATCAGCCACCATTGAGACAAGAAATTGGTCCAGGCGTGGGAAAAAGGAAAGTCCTCTCTACTCCGTTATGATTCATTTGGAAATGATCAAAAATGGACTCGGCGGAATTTGGTCAATGCTTAGTAGCCTTCAAAATTACAGCATAAAATATATACACAAGGAATTGGAGACCTGGTTGAAGACTGTTGCAGGACCATCAAATCAAGTGGAAAACTATGAACAATTTCTTCTTCTTTTTTTTACTTTTTTTACTTTTTTATTTTATTCTATGACTAATAGATCGGATTGGAAATTGGGTCAAATTTCAATACAAAGTCTAAATTGATTCTAATTTTAAATTTATACCATTGTTAATTTAGGGTTTTAATTGAATTAATTTTTACTTTAAAAAGTTAATATAAATTAATAAAAATACTCCGTATAAGAATAAAACTTTTGAAAATTACAATAATACCCTTAAATTAAAAAAGAATTATAAAAAATTAAAAACGATGGAAATTATTAATACTTTATTTAAAAAATAACCTAATAGTTCACAAAGGATATTTTTAAAAATTTCATAAAGAATTAAAAGGATATTAATAAAAAATTAAAAGTTAAAAGAATATGTTCGAAACAAAATATTAACGGTTTATCTGCTAAGGGTAAATGTATCTTTTAAAGTTTCCTGTCAATATTACCACTTTTGAAAGTTTAGAGATATCTTTTTAGATAAAGGGCATAATTTATCAGTATTTTTATTAATTTAATAAAAAAAATTATTAAACTTGTGAATAGAAAATTTAAATATCAACATGAATATAGTTCAACTAACATAAAACATAGGTTATCGACTAGAAGGTCAAATATTAGAATCTCCTGTCATACGTATTGAAGGTTAATATTTGATTTATTGATAGATCGTTAAAATATGACAAAATTATAAAAAGTTTGACTCCACTAAAATGATATAATTTATTGACTTAAAATGTGAGTTGGAATGAACACTAATTACATTTTATTAAATAAAAGCAATAAATTAGTTGTTTAATTATAAAATAATGATCATCGTACAAACAACTATTAATATTTATTCATGTAACCCACAAAAAAAAAAAAATATATTGTTTTATTGTATAAAATCTATCATTTCATTTAATTTAAAAAACTAAAAATTAATGGATATATATATATATATAGTTTTCAGAATTTTGAAAAAAATTTAAAAAAAACAAATAAACTCACTCATAAAAGCAGTATTGGTTGCTTAATTTTAAAAAGCCAAATAATTATCTTAATTAATTTATAAAATAATTCATTTAATGCTCTCTTAGGTATATTGATGAAAAAAGTCAATAATTATTTTAATAACAATTCAAACGTTTGAAGATAAGGAGAGGGTCAATAGTCAAATAAAAAATAAATAAAAAATAAATAACATCGGTCAAATTAAAAAAGCATCGATCGGAGTCGTAGTAACGTTCTCCGCTCAAGGATGAAATTTTTTAAGATAATTTTTTTTCATTTCTTATATTATTTTTCCGCTCAAAGATGAGATTGGAGCTGGTGACGAACAAAGGGTCCAACAGACATGTAGCTAGGGTGCAAGTAAAAAAATCCATTAATTCTCTTTTCTTTTTACAATCGAAAATCAAGACGTATCAAACACTATAGTGAGACGTGAAAATACTCGATCCCATTTTCAACCTTGATATGTAGAGTCCTCTTGTGTCATACATACGAGATTGTTCGGGAGTCATGGTCCAAGTGCAATGAAAATTCAAAAGAGCTCGTGAACTTCTTAGTATTTTTCCTTTAATTGACCATTCTCGCATTGTTTGAGACGAGGTCGGAATGAGGTGATAAATTCCTGTTTTCCGAGAGTATTTAACTATCTAAATTTTCATGCAATTTTTAGTTCCTAAAAATATTGCATGAAAAAAAAAAAACAATAATTTATTTATTTGGAATTCAAAGTTTTAAAAGAGCGTAAAAGTCTGCCACGTGTGAATTAGAGAATGACTTGAATGAATATGCACGTGTGATCCTTTTTTAATTTTTCTTTAAATTTTAAATTTTATTGCCTTTGACTTTCCACAAAGAAAAATTCAAACTTTTTTTTCTTTTACATTCTTTTATCCTTTCTTCTAGAAATATGATTTTCTTTGGGAATGGTTATTTTTTTTATAATACCTAAATTTAGCGGATTAAAATTAAATAATTAATATTTAATTTATTAAATTATATTTCGACTCTACAATATTATGATTAATTTGAAATAATTGAAAGAATTAATAATTTAGATAATGTGTTTAATATAGCTTATTATTAAAATATATTTCTTTAGAAAAATGTAAGGAAATTCATAATGTTGATTTTTTTAAATTAACCATATAAATATTACTTTTACTTGATTTGTTATTATTTTTTTAATATATAGTGAAATTTAACTAATATTCAAATATTTTCTTAAGAATGGAGATAATGAGAAAATAAATATAATTTTTAAAAAACTAAATTAATTATCGGTCTCAATTAAACACACAGTTTTAAGTACTCGATTTCCAGTATTTTGATCGTGAACTTTCGGAGAAAGGAGGGGGCGTTTTGTAAATTTTGTAGGGGTTTTAGAGTAAAAAGAAGAGAATAGAAGGGTTTGTTTGAAAATTTGAAAGTTGATAAGGTATTTGATATTTTGGTGTGACCCAATCAACTTTTGGAAAAAAGTACTTTGGGCTTTGACTTCTTACATATTTGGTCACTTTTGGATGGCTATATGCAATCTTAGCTCCATCACTACCCAAAATTAAAAAATAATAATTAATACTAAATGGATTGACAATATTCAACTCTATGAGTTTTTATGCTATCAAAAGTTAAGAACGATATTGCAACGTTTGAAAGAACAGGGGTATTTTCTGTGGCTTCCGTTTTCGTGTTCTTAACTTCATGTAAGTCACTTACTCGAACATGGCATGAAAGTTTTAAAAATAAGTTTTTATCTTCTCAATAGACGACTTCTATTGTGATTGTTGAAATTCAAATAGAATAATATATTTGACGTTCATGTGATAATAACGATAAGATTTGATTGGGCGAGAAATACATGATGGGTGGAATTAGAAAAATGTTTGCTATACTAACTCCAATGCTTAATTTAGAAGAATTTAGAGGATGAGAAAGGACTTGCCTTCTCCCAATTGAAAAAGAATATATAATATTAATAAAATAAGAAAACTTAGACAGAATTAATATTTATGTTTAATTTAATAAAATAAAATAATTAACCAATATATATTTTTAATTCTTTTAGTTTTGAATTTTTGTTTTTTAATTGTCTCAAACATCTTGTAAAAGGTTTTATAAACCTTTTTTGAGGTGGAATAATCTGATTTGAAGGGTTTTATCAACAAAATATTCACCTTAAATAAAATAAAAAGTTGACTTAATTTTGTTGTCAATTAATATTTTCAACATCTGTCTTACCAAAGCTACAAAAGTATGGCATTGTAATGATTCAAACTAAGCCAAAATCCTTAATCATAATGTGATTTTTAAAGTGAGTGACACAAAATAAGTCTTAAGCTTTCTAAAAAATTTGTCCCTTTTAGGAAGGGAGACCGAATCTGATCCTACTCAATAACTATCAGGTTCGCAGAATGATAGAAAAACCAAATTCACTCTTGTGACATGGTCAAAGTTCGATTCACCACTTCGAGAAAAGAGATGAAACGCTCTCTTCCCATCTTTATACATAAGAGAAATCACTCAAGACAAGAGGTGTCGACAACGACAACTTAATGTCTTGACTTTTTTCCGTTTATGGAACATCTAGAATTGTCAAATCTCTCTTGCGCTCGTAAGAGAACCTCACTACAAAAAAATAAAAAAAAAGGGGACAATCCTCCATCCTTATACTCTGTGCAAAGCCCCCATCTCTTTCCTCTCACAAAAAAACCCATTACCTTCCATTTTGAAATCCCCATTTCACCAAACCAATTTCCCTTTCTTATAGATCCCATCTCCAATGCCTCAAAAAACAGAACAATCCCAGACAAAAGCTCCTCTGTTTTTTCCCCCACATTCACTAAGAACAACCTCTTTCTCATCATCTCCTTCTTCCTCACCTTCCTCTTCTTCTGCAAGTCCATTTCAGCTCAATCCTCTCAGCCACCAGGCCCCTCCGCTCTGACTAACATCACCGCCATCCTCGAAAAGGCTGACCAATTCACAACATTGATTAAGCTCCTAAAAAGCACCCAACATAGTGATCAAATCAACAATCAGCTCAACAACTTCAACCAAGGCCTCACTGTTTTTGCTCCCCCCGACAATGCCTTCTCAAATCTCAAGCCCGCCACTCTCAATTCCCTCTCCGATCAGCAAAAAGTTCAGTTGCTTCAGTTCCATGCCCTCCCTACTTTCATTTCCATATCCCAATTTCAAACCGTCAGCAACCCACTTCGTACTCAGGCCGGAAACAGCAACACTGGTCAGTTTCCGTTGAATGTTCCAAAAAAAGCTAGACTAGAAAAGAGATCTTATCTTAACTGACTTCTCAAAAGCTTTCTAGAGTAACATGAATATCAGAAAAGGCTATAATAGTGTTTCTCTGAGATAATCTCAACATTTTCTTCCTTAATTAATAAAGTTCCGCATAGCAAAATCTTGCTCAATGAGCAATTCTGTAAACTAAAAAGGCTCTATATTATGTATAACTCTAACCCCTAAGGTATTTCTACTTCTCAGAAAATAAATATTTCGACCCCCCCTCCCTTTTATAGCCAATGTTTTCTAATCATCATAAAAATATCAGAGAAAAGAGGAATCGATGTTTTTGCTGAAATCAGAAATGGAATTCAAACCCACCAGGATAGCCACCTCCTGCTCCACCACCAAATCCACCGTCAAAAGTAAAGGTAAACTGCTGTCCGCCGCCACCAAAAGGGTTGAAACCACCTCCACCACCCATGCCCATGTCTTCAATGTCTTCCCCTCTATCAAATCTTGTACGCTTTTCATCATTGCCGAGGACCTGCAAGACATAACTTAACCACTCAGCCATATGTTATCCATACCGCATCGTGTCCAACTTTTCACAGCACAAGAAATCATTATACGTTTGAGTAGTTAAAACCAGAAAGATGTAAAAGCAATGCCAACAAATAGTAAGTAGATATTTTTCAAGTCAGACCTCATAAGCAGCAGCGACATCTCGGAACATGGCTTCTGCTTCTTCTCTATTTTCAACATTTTTGTCAGGGTGCCATTGCAAAGCCAGCTTCTTATAGGCACGTTTAATCTCAGCGACAGAAGCAGTTTTTGAGACCCCCAAAACTTTATACCAGTCCTTTCGTTTGCTCATCTTTAAAGCCTTTTCAGCCCTCATCAGTGACTGTCTAATATTCATATCCTGCAATCATCATTGATCCCATTAATTGACGATGACCGATAACAGTGCAAAACCTGCGTTAAATGTCCTAATTTTATTCCATCTTACAATGATTTTTTTTATATGAATAAATTGGTATAAATTAAAAAGAGCCAAAAAACATGCAGAGCCAAACCAAAGAAGCAAAGGAAAGGGGCTCCAGAACTGAAACTAACCTGTGGTGAACTTTGAGCCGCAGTCTTAAGATCTTCAACAGCACCCTCCCAGTCCTCTGTTAAAAGCTTTGCTTCACCTCTCTGGAAAAGACAATTCCCAGCATTAAGGACTTGAGACCATTAACAAAATTTAGACACTCTCATTATGTTAGGTTGATTAAGGCGATTGCCAGGACATTCACAAGAAAATGAATTGAAAGGAAGTTAGGATGAGACGTAGGTTGCAGTTTGGATTTCTAAAAATGCACAAAAATTATAGATCTTGGATGCAAGGAAGAAGGAAGATGGTAATCATAGCCCAACATAACAGCTCAGCATGCCAAAGGTGAATCAGAGGAGCTATCGTATTAAGATAAAATGGCTCCAGATATGGAAAAGCAGTGATAAGCAGAAAGGATCCAATACTAAATGGAAGAGCCAGAGAGATGAGGGCCAAAAACTACAGCAAACCTGAACCAAAGCTTCAATAAGGTTTCCATCAATGTTTAGTGCTTCATTGCAACTCGTAAGAGCATCCTTTCCACGACTGAGCTTCACCAGTACCTTGCATAAGCCAAGATGAAGATGTACATTGTGTGCGAGATGAATGGGGTCTAATGCAAGGGCAGCTTTGTATTCCTCCACTGCTAACCGCAGCTTACCCTTGCTGACATTATCTTCTGCCTGTCAACAAAGTATAAAAACTAAAATGAAGCACAAGATAAATAGCACTATCAAATTCAAGAATCTTCATTCCATAACTGTACGTGAGATTCTCATCTCATACCGCTCCTCCTTTATGTGATGCACATAATGAGACGAGAATAGTAGATGAAATAAAAAAAGATTGAAATACTCTCATTATGAATGGATGAGACTAGTGCTTTTACAAAAAAATCTCTAGCCAACCTTTCTGTAAAAGATTTTTTCTAAACATCAATCGTGTTGTTATTGGATAAGAAATGGCAACTCTAACAATTTTTTTTGTTCTCAATGCCTCTTAAGTTTGCTGGAATTAGTCACTTCAATAGTCTTTGATGTTTATACAAGTATCCAAATACAAACGAGATGGATATTTGTTGTCCCAACCATTTTTCTAAGTTCCAATCCCAATAAAGAAAATGGATAATTTATAACAAAATTTTTGTGTTGTTGATCCCTAGGTGTAGTGCTTCTTTTGCTACCTATTTTTTCTAGTGAAATATGTTTGACTTAATCCATAGGTTACACCTTACACTCAGTACTAGAATCGACAACTAAAGCATCTAAGGTTACATTAATCACAAATACACAACAAAAGGAATTATTTATTTTAAAATTGCACATCCAAGTAGATTTATTTCAATTATAATTTTTTTTTTTAATTTCTATCCTGAATAATGTGTCTTTCTACTGAACGGAGACCAAATAAAGGGGTCTAAAGAAATTTCAAATAGAACACCCAAAAAAATAGGAATTAAAAGATTTCATCATTTTGCTTGGGCTTACACTCTTGGACTTCTTGAGCAGATTCTTCAATCCAAAATATGCTTTCTTCAGTTCACCATGTTCTGGATCTAGGCGAAGACCCTTCTGAAAATGCCTGGAAAAATTGTTCAGTATAAAAGTTTGTTCATGTTATAAGAAGTAAAGTTTTCAACAATATGTACTATCAAATCAACCTCAAGGCAACATCATGATCTGCCAAATAGTAGTAGGCACGGCCACGAAGTAATAATGCATCTAGATTGCTTTCATCTTCTTTAAGAATATATACAGTCTCAGAGATGGCAGCAGAATAGTCCTTGGTTGCCAACAATAATTTTATTTTCAGGATTTTGGCCTACATCAAATTAAAGTGCACGATAAGTAGAAATTCAAGAGAATATTTAAACAGGTAAGAAGTCTAATTGGATAAAAGATGATATCACCTCAGAGCATGCTGGAGAGAAAACAAGTACAACTTTATCCAAGAATTCCAATGATTTTGTGTGATCTGTATCAAAAAGCTTAAGAGCCGTTTCTAAAGCACTCTGAGCCTGAAGCAATTGAGAAAGCTCCGTTTCACCAGCTGAATTCCCAGGTTTTAACTCCAAATACTTTTTGTAGTTCTTCTTGGATTCATCATATCTACATCAGCCAAAAAGTTCCTGAATCATATAATTATCCAATCAGAATGGAAGGTAGAGAGTGAGAGCAAGGTTTTCTACATGCCACAATAGTTTAAATGTCCTTTACAATATTCTCCATCTCAAATGTGATTTTTGTTTTTAGTACGTTTAACCTTCTCTAGGAAGATGTACTCTATATTTTCTTAGGATATCATGAGCCAAGGTTAAGAAAAGAAAATGATGTTTTGGAGTCGTGAAGCTTCAACTCTGTAGCTGGATGTTGGTTGGAAAGAGGTCAACTAATTTTCAGAACCAAAAGTGAGATTGCTGAAGATACTTCGGATTGATTTGTATTTTTAGCGAGTAGTCTGAAGAGTAAACTCTAAATTTTGATATTTCCTTTCCTTTCGGTCCATTGTATTAAAAAAATCCTTTGGCGTAATTTATTTTCATTTTCCCTCAAGAAGATGCGCCTCCTTATCCTCTGTATTATTTGTAACAGTTTTTTTACCTTAGCACATGTCAATATCAATTTATGTGTGCTAAATTAAAAGTTTAGTCTAAACTTTTAAATTTGCATTTATTTGGTCCTTGAACTTAATAAAGTGTTGAATAAGTCCTTAAACTTTCAATTGTGTCTAACAAAAAGGTCCCTAAACTATAAAATGTCTAATAAATCTCTATACTTTCAATTTTGTGTCTAATAAATCCCTGAAATATTCAACTTTTTAAAATTAATAAGGCTATTAGATTTAAATGAATTTTGTCTAATAAAACCCTCTTTTAATTTTGTGTCTAATAAGTTCATTAGTTTTATAAAAAAAAAAAATCAAATAAGTCAATGACCTACTAGATACAAAATTGAAAAAAATTGAAAACTTATTGGACACAAATTTGAAAACCTATTAGACATTTTTAAGAGTTTAGGAATCAAATACACACAACCCTAAAAGTTTAGGTACTAAACTTGTAATTTAACCATTTATTTTCTAAAAAGTATAAAAAATAGTGTAACTAAAAACACAAACAAACTATAGCTCATTACTCTTTGTGAGATCTCACATCAGTAGTTGGAAGGGTAAACAAAGCATTCCTTATAAAAGTGTAAAAACCTCTCTCTAATAGAAGCATTTTTGAACCGTGAGGATGACGGCAATACGTAATGGGCTAAAGTAGACAATATCTGCTAGCGGTGTCCTTGGGCTATTACAGTTGGTATCAGAGCAAGACACCGAGCAATGTGTCAACAAGGATGCTGGGCCCCAAGGGAAGTGGACTGTGAGATCTCATATCAATTGGAGAGGGGAATGAAACATTTTTTATAAGAGTGTGGAAACCTCTCCCCAATAGATGCGTTTTTAAACAATGAGGCTGACAGCGATACATAAAAGGCTAAAGCAAATAATATCTACTAGCACTAGCCTCGGGCTATTACACTTTGCCTACTAGTCCTTTCAATGCTCAGTCATAATATTTTCCAATCTAGTATATGTTTATGTGTATATATATTGTTAGGAATCATGATTTCCACAATGGTATGATATTGTCCACTTTGAGCATAAGCTCTCATAGCTTTGCTTTGGGCTTTCCCAAAAGGCCTCGTACCAATGAAGATTTATTCCTTACTTATAAACCCATGATCATTCCCTAAGTTAGCCAATGTGGGACTCCCTCCCAACAATCCTCCCCTCGAACAAAGTACACCATAGAGCCTCCCCTTAATCGAGGCTCGACTCCTTCCTCTGGAGCCCTCGAACAAAGTACACCCTTTGTTCGACACATAAGTCACTTTTGACTACACCTTCGCTAGCAATTTCTTTGTTCGATACTTGAGGATTTTATTAACATGGCTAAATTAAGGGCATGGCTCTGATACCATATTAGGAATCACGGATCTCCACAATGGCAATATTGTCCACTTTGAGCATAAGGTCTCATGGCTTTGCTTTGGACTTCCCCAAAAGGCCTCATACCAACCCCAAAAGGCCTCATGCCCATGGAGATGTATTCCTTACTTGATAGATATATATATGAGGAAGTTTTTACCACAACCAAGGTTTATAACCAAATAGGAAGAAGAGATGGAAGAAAATAAGGGAGGCAGTCATCTACCTCAGCATAAACAGGCAACATGAAGATGTCAAATCAAAGCCTATTTCCAGATCAGAGGCAATTCCAAATTTCTAATCCTAAAAATTCTGACAGATAATAATTTGCAATGCCAAAATTTTACTGTTTCTCTCAATTTGATGCTATAATTTGCAAGGAATTTCAATAAATTAGCAAGAGGGGGAAAACCTGCATAATTGACGAAGAATTGAACCACGATGGAAGTATGCTTCTGAAAGTTTGGGGTCTGCCTCGATAGCAGCATTAAGATCATCAAGTGCCTCACTGTAACGCTTCACCTTTACATTTCGGGAAACTTTCTCAAACAACTCAGCGGAGTCACCCAACTTTCCATCTGGAGATATAAGCCACTCAACTACATGATGCAACTGATAATAAAAACAAGAAATGCAAACCCCAGATGGAAGAAAAAAAGAGGAGAGGGGAAAACAGAAGAATAAGAAAACAGAGAAGAGGGCAGGTTCAAATTTCTTGGGGAAAGCCTTGCATCTGCAGGCTTATGCAGGTACCAAATTCTGCACCCTTAGGGAGCAGTCTTATGCTTTCTTAGAAAAGTTTCACATGCACAGGTTAAAGATGAGTTCTGGCTATCATGTATACTTATTAACAAAGAGAGAAATTCATAATTTTTTTTTTTTTTTTTTTTTTTTTTTTTGATTTGACAAGAAACAATTTCATTGATGATTGATGATTGAAATTTACAAAAAGAATGTAATATCCATGGTGTTTACCTTCAGATGGCTTTAACCATCGGTACCCCTCAGGTTCCAAATCCATAATTTACACCATGAAAAGACTGTGTATTTAAATTTCGTTCCAAATATTTTTAAATTTATGAAAGTGCTGGAATAAACAACCAAATTGAAAACAGCAGTAGAACAACTAAATAGCGGCATAAAGAGACCTACAACAATAAATACTAAAAATCAATACTGATCCTGGTCGGACCAACAAATGTGGGAACAGAGAATACGTAAGCCAACGGAAACTATAAGCCAAATCACATTTTCAATAAATAAAACTTGCTTCAATAATCGTAAGAGCTCCAAAATTTGGCATCAGATTCATCAACATAGTAAATTCTTAACACGTGAACAAATAGAAAATCAAATGAAATATCGCACATTACAAAACTAGATCTAGGTATCTAATCGTAGATAAACAAACCGAACTGCAAAATTAGAAACTCATTCTAGTTAAATTTTTCCAGCGAAGATAAGACGAATAGATCAGAGAATAAACTAACGGACCTGAAGCCGAAACCAAAGGCTGAAGGAGAAGAAGCTGACAGACTAGAACAAAGTTGAGAAGAAACGCTGCAAACGCTAATCCTCTCCAAGCTGAAGCGTCCATGGCGGACAGCGGAATCGAAAATCTTAGCATTGTTTCTTCGCGTTCAAAGTTTCACGAACAGAATAAATGTGTAAAATAAAATTGTTATTAAACGAGTCGGTCCACGTATTATATCCAATGGGTGGATTACACGTGGATAATAATTTTAACAACTGGTCGAGTAGGAAATTCCATCATTTTATGCTTCGTGGAAAGTCCAACAGAAAAGCGAGCCTATTGGGATCCGCCACGTCATGATGAGTTTCTAGCCACGTGTGATTGCGGCCCGTTTTTTTCTATTGGCCCAATACATGGGCTTGAACCAATCTTGGTTGGGCTGTTTAATACCAATCTTGGGTAGTGTCATAGTCGAACAGTCGAAGATGATTTGTCTCTACACTAGGTCAAGTCTTTTATGTGCAAGGTCGCATCTCAATCATCATCTTGGTTCTCAAGAATATACCTCATGCATCGTGATGTCATTCCATATCTCGAGACAGCTCGACCATCTTAGCTTGCTCGAATATGTCTAGTGGAACTGACCCCATGTGTCTCTCATTTCATTGGGACATTCTAAACATTCATCCACCTAAATTCTCATCGGGACAGGAACCCTTTCGTATCCATGCTATGTCATTTATGGACTCCGTACCGGATAGCAAATGCATATACCAACTTCTGACACATGAGTTGAAGTGAAATATTGGCACACACGTGTCGTCCGATACTGTCCTTCGAGACGCTCGTTCCATAATGCTCACCCATACCGTGACATACGTATGTACCATGAGGTAGCTCACTTCAGCTGTAGGATTCATGGATGGTGGAGAGTTGACACCATGGCTCATCCTATCGTGCATTTTGAGACATTTCAAATCTTTCTAGACTAGATGTCATTTTGTCCAGCGGTCATATGGTCCCGTGGAGCATCCATCGAATATTCGGTTAACACCAAATTTGATAATCTTTCATCTTTCAGGTAGACGGACTTAACTATAAAACATCATGTCAAACCTCATATCAAAACCTTGACTTCTGAGTTTATGGTCAGGGTCTACCTAGCCCTCTCCAAGCTTGTCTTTGCCAATCGTGTTGCCTCTTTCTCTCCAACCTTGTTTATGCCTTAACTTAGATTTAACATACACTCTTCTTAGTGTGTTGGACGATGCACTGTCTCCTCAGTCGCATCATGACACTTACCTATCTTGGCTCTCACATGGCCAGATGAACGCCACTTGAAGGTTGTTGCCTTGTATGTCAACATGTGAAGGTCATAGCCTATTGTCTTCTTACTGAAATGATGACATGTACTACCTTGTTTTCTATAAGTACATCATTTTCATTTCTAAATGGAGGCAAACCGTTCCGAGACATTAACTTAGCACTTGCTTTCGAGAACTAGAGGAGACCATGGGAGCAAGGAAAATGAATGGTTCAATTTTGGATCGTGACATCACGTCGAGGACGAACAATTGACATAAGCTTACACGTTTTACTTCACTTAGCTATACTCATTTTTAATTTCTACGAACCATCCACTCAAAACTTTATTATATATTATTATATATTAACATTTGACCGTGCTTCTCGACCACATCATGACAAATGAACATCTCACACTTTTTCCTCATCCCCGAGCATTCCCAATGAACTCGCTCAACCCCATCTCCGAGCTCATAGAGCTTCCAAATTTCGACATCTCCATTAACGAAACCAACTCCACATTCCCATTCCCTTCTCTCTCCCTCGTACCCAAAAAATCCCTCAACCCGTTCCCATTTCCGCCATTGGAGCCCATTCGCTGCAACTCCCCTTTGCTCTGATCAAACGAACTCGAAGACGAACTCATAACTCCCACACTATTCCCAGAGAACGACGGAATACTTTTCATAGACCCGAAATGCGCCGCCTTCAGCAGCAATGCCGTAGCCGACATCGGGATAATTGACTTCCCTCCACCGCCACTACCGCCCGAGCAAAACGACGAGAGGTTCACGGCTGTTTTTGAAGAGTTTTTATTCAGACCCAGAATTCGGTTGGAGATTTGGAAGAGATTAGAGGGTGGAATTTGGGGGAAAGGGAAGGTGGTGTTGATGGGAAAGTTATTATGGTCTGATTGGACAAAGATTCCGCCTTGGGAATTGAAGAGAGATTCGTTGAGTGAATTGGCAATGAAATTTGGGGTTGAATTTGCTGCTGCGGCTGCTGCTGCTGCTGCTACCGATGAGATTAGCCTGCCGCTTTCGTCCGCTAGAGCGTCGCAGAATGCTCTGTGGGTTATGAAGCTGTCTTTCCTATCAAGAGAGAGAGAGTAAGACTATGTTTATTGCTTATTTCTAGTAGGACATCATAAATTTTGAACTCAGGATCAATAAATGCCTTTAAAAATGGTATTAAATGAACAAAAATTTCAGTTGCATGTTAAAGAGGGGAATAAAACATTTGTTATAAGCGTTTTAAAATTATGAGACTAGCAGCGATAGGTAACGGGCTGAAGCAAACAATATCTGTTAGCGGGGGCTTGAACTATTACAAATGGTATTAGAGACAGACACCGAGCGGATGGGGGAATAAACCATTCCTTATAAGGGTGAGGAAACTTCTTCCTAACAAACGCATTTTAAAACATGAGGTTGACGGCAATAGGTAATGGGCTAAAGCGAACAATATCTGGTAGTAATGGGCTTGGGCTGTAACAATGGTATCAGAGCAAGACACTGGGTGGTGTGACAGTGAGGACGCTGGGCCTCCAAGTGAGTGGATTGTGAGATTACACATCGATTAGAGAGAGGAACAAAGCATTCCTTAAAAGGTGTGAAAACCTCTCTCTAACGAGGGTGTGGAAACCTCTCTCCAACAAACACATTTTAAAATTGTGAGACTGACAGCTATAGATAATTGGCTAAAACATACAATATCCACTAAAAGTGGATATGAGCTGTTACATAGAAATGTTAATGTAGATATAGGTATAAGTATTTGAACATCCAACTAATTATGGAGCCGAGAAAGATTTCTAGGAGACAAAGAATCCAACGTGTGACACATGATTGAATCGATACCACATCTGAATGAGAGCGATTCAAATTATAGTATGATTAAGAAAAGCTTAAAAAAAATGAAACATACTACTTATACTAACAAGATACGTCTCGATTAGTTCTAAAAACGAAGAATAAGTAACGTAATCATACTAATTTTGAAGAACAAACGCAAATAAAAACGAAGACCAAACCTGGAAAAGAGTGTTCCACAGTCACATTTGTACTCTCGAGTTCCACAAGTTTTAGAATGAGCTTTCCAATCAGATTGAACAGCATATTTCTTAGAACATTTCTCACATTTCCATTTCTTCTCACCATGTTTTCTACTAAAATGCTTCTTGATTCCAGTCAGGTCTCCAAGTGCTCTAGCTGGATCATGATGAACACAAGACTTTTCTGGGCAAATATAAACCTTCTTCTTCACCTCTTTGTTGCTTCTCTGCCTAAGCTTCCATGGCAGATTATGCCCTCTTCTATGAAGCTGCAAGTTCTGATCCCTTTGAAACCCTTTGTTGCATATCTCACATATGAATCGGTTCGTCGCCATTAGAGCGTTCGGCGATAAAGAAATCACCTCGGCGTCTGGATCTGTGTAATCAAACACACCCATTTGTCAAAATCCCATCTTTTTTTTTAAAAAAAAAAAAAAATTGAAATGGATATTGAGAATTTTGAAGTAAATCAGCTGAAAATGTTAAGATCAAGAACAAACCTGGTTTTCCTGGCAAATTTCTCTTTTTTTTAGGGTTAGGGTTAGGGTTATGAGGAAGATGATAAAGTTGAGAGCTTTGTTCAGACATGATCAGCAAAGCTCACAAACAAAAAGAGGAAAACCAAAGGGGGTTTGATTTTGTTTGGTTTTGATGAAGCTCAAAATCAAGAGAAAAAGATGAAAAAGTTTGAACAATTATGGTATGGACAAGGACAAGGACAAGAACAACAACAAGAACAATGGATTTATCTGCGGTCTGTTTGGCTTAAAAAGAAATCTCCAAGAACCATGATGAGTAAAGGGAATATTTTTCATGTTTAATTAATTCATTATTATTATTACTATTTTGATTCTGAAAAAGTTGGTTCCCTCTCTGTTACTGTTGCAGCCATAGTCTTACGTGCAGTCCCTTTTATCTTACTGTACTCAATCTTCAAGATGCCTCAGCTTTATCCATAGATTTAGCTGCCCCATCTCTGATTTTCTTGAGATGGGTCAATATTTTAAGGCAAAAATGAAGGAAGAAGAAGGAAAAAAACAAGAATTTTGGTTAAAATACATATATCGAATCAAAAGTTTGAGAGTATGTTTAAGTTCGGCAAGGATGAGAAATCTCTGTTTAAACGGATAATGAAATAGAAGTGGAAAAACGTTTATCCCTAGTAGCTAAACGGTGCCATGAATCTTGATTATTTTTCCCATCAACCTTTTCCAAATCCCGGCTCATCACACCCAATAATTGAAATTGTGAGATCTCACATCGGTGGAGAGGAGAACAAATCATTGCTTATAAGGGTGTGGATACCTCTCCATAGCATATGCGTTTTAAAAACTGTAAAGCTGACGACGATAAGTGTGTCAGTGTGTCAGTGAAAACGTTGGCCCCCAAAAGGTGGATTGTGAGATCTCATATCAGTTGTAGAAGAAAACAAAACAGTCCTTAAAGGGGGTGAAATATCTTCTTAATAGACGCGTTGGGCTCTTCAGGGGGTTAATTGTGAGATCCTATATCGGTTGGAGAGTGAAACAAAACACCCCTTAGAAGGGGGTGAAGTTTCTCCCCAACAAGGGGTGGATGGTGAGATTTCACATCAGTTGGATAGAAAAATGACTCTCTTCTTATAAGGGTGTGAAATGGCTAAGACGTGAGACGTAACAGGTGATATAAGAGCTAGACACCGAACAGTGTACTAGCGAGAACGTTAACTCGCAAACAACGTTTTACTTTACGGACCAAAAAAGAGTGTGTTGACTAATAGAGACAGAGAGAGAGAGAGAGAGAGAATCTTTGCAAAGTTAGATGCCTTTATGGAATGATTAACCCATAATCAAAAGCTATGCTAAAACTATTCAAATAGTTTCAAACTTTTAGAGTAAAAAATACACATAAACAGAGGGCGTTGGGGTTAGGGTTTCCCAATGCAAAAGTGATAGGACAATCCGTGATACCTCTGTGACTGTGACTGTGTCTGTGACACTCACCCAACGCCTCTGCTTCCTCATTTCTACTGTTCTTTCTCTGCAAACTTCCATCATTTCATTTTCCCTTAACCCTAAAATTCCATAAATTTCTACCACATTAACTAACAATTTGTATTACTATGAGATTCAACGATCCCACGATCTCACTTCCGTTGGAGAGGAGAATCAAAAACTCTTTATAAAACTATGAAAACATTTTATTGGCAGATGCGTTTTAAACAAAGGAAAAGTCCCAAAGGAAAAGCCCAAAGAAGACAATATCGACTAAGCCACGAGCTTGTTTATTTTGCATTTCTTGTGTTCAGATTGGACACTAGAGTCATTTAAGTAGCTTTAATCAAGCTATTAAAGTTTAAAAACGATTTTTTTTTTTTATGATTGATTTGATCATCAAGGTAATCTATTCCAAAATTTTGGAGGTTTATTTTTCAATTTTTAGTGTTGAGATTTATTAAAATTTTTAAAAAAGTTTAGGGACATATTAGAAATAGACCAGATATTAAGAGAAAGGTAACTTTATTTTCTTAATGCCCCTTATAATACAGAATATTTAATTTTAACCCCGCCCCTTATAATACAGAATATTTAATTTTAACCCCATAATTACTCATAAATTGTGTCATATATCTTTGTCCATGTGATAAAATCAACAATTTTTGGGGGCCCATTGAAAATTTTATATTTAAATGATTTAGTGATTATTTTATATTTGTAGACAAATTAATTTGGATTAGGGTTTAATCCAGTAATTTTGAAATTAAGGTCACTAATTATTAAAGAGAAATAATTAGGGATAAAAGAGAGAAATTAATTAAAAAATAAAGTAAAATAATAATGAAAAGAATAATAAGTTTTTGGCAACATGCAATTGGATTTCCATCAAACATTAACATATGCCATTACAAATATATAAAAACAAGACATCCCTAAATTCATGCATTTGGTGCCATTATATCATATCTTATTCTCTTTTATTTTTTAATTTATTTTATATAGGGAACGGTTTTTTTTTTTTTTTTTTACTAGCTCGGTGTCGAGTTGGGACCGAGAAACCTTCTCCATCCACGCTTCCTATTTATTCTCTCTGAAATTCTTCATATATTTTCACTTAGATTGGGACACGGTTTTCGTACAGTAAATTGTGGGAACCTATGGGAATTAGGTTCGTGTAAGGATTTTTTTTTTCATTTTTTAATAAAATTATTCATTAAAGATTTAAGGTATAATTTCCATTTTTTAAAATATATATTGCGTAAGAAAAATGTAATATAACGTTCAAACTAATTTCTAGAAAATTAAATTTCAATATTACAACATAGTTTTTAATATTTATGGGGATTGGGACAAGAATATAATCTTTGTTCTCGACTCCGTTTAGTTAATAAGGAGAAATTTCTCCCCTCTTCTTACTCTCATTCTTCAACGGATCATTACAAGGTCCCGACCCTAAGCTAAACAGACATTTCTACCTGCAAATTATAAAATAATTTAAAATGGGTCCATTTCATTTTTTTTTCAAAGTTATTAAATTTTAAACTCGGAGAACGATTTAAATGAAAAAGACCAAAGTTCTTGACGTAAACAAACCCTAACATATTCAAAATGATGATACCGCCAATAAATATCCATTTAATCTGTAGAGTTAAACGAGAAGTTGAGAGATAGTGGAGAAAGATTTTCCTCATAACCTAAATGAGATTGGGGACAAGGGTTATATTTCTTACCCGACCTACTTCTAGAATTAAAGTGAGCATAGATCAGTAATAGTTGATATATATTCTTGATCAAGACTAAGAAAGGAAAGATTCAACGTCGTTGAGCTAAAAAAATTGAGACATGAACGGAGATTATACTTCTCGCCTTACCCACTTTTAGAATTAAAGTGAATATAGATGAAAATTATAATTAATTAATAGTATTCTCGAGCAAGTTTAACAACAGAAATGTTCGAGTTCTTAAAAAGAAAAAAATGTTAGAGATAAAATTACTTAGGCAAGAAAGATCTCAAATGCAGATAGAGGATAGAGCCCGTAAAGAAATTGCATAAAAGAATTTTATTTTGTAGGGCTGAGAATTGAACTCAAGACCTCTCACACCATAAGCAAAATTTATACCACCAAACCAAATGACCAATTTTAATGAAGTTATTTTTAAAAAAATAAACAAACATAAATTAAATTGCAGAAAAGATAATTCTTGGGGGCATTCCGAGAATTGAACTCGGGACCTCTCGCACCCTAAGCGAGAATCATACCACTAGACCAAATGCCCAGTTTTAATAAAGTTATTTTTTAATAAAAAAACAAACAAATCAAATTGCAAAAATGATAATTATTGGGGGCATTCCGAGAATTGAACTCGGGACCTCTCGCACCCTAAGCGAGAATCATACCACTAGACCAAATGCCCTTTTGTTTTAAATTTACTTACTAAAATTTCTAAAACAAACTATAAATTTATTCTCCAACTTATTTTTTTTTTAAAAATAACTTTTTATTTTATTTTTTTGAATTTGGACTATTTAGAGAATAAACAATGACATTAGAAATAATTTTGCATTTAACACTTTTAAAAATTCTAAAATAAAAAAAATAAGAAACACTCCACTTACTTTGTAAGATAAGAAAAATAAAAAATAATTGAAGATTTGACAAAATAGAGAAGAGTTTTACTTTTTAAATAAAAAAAATAAACGCAAATTTATCATATATTTTTATTATCTTTTTAAAATAAAACAAAATTGATATTTAGAAACAACACATAAAAATCAATTTGGAGTCCTTTGGAGCCACTTTTTGACGTGTTTTAAAAATATTTTGAATTAAAAAAAAAAAAAAAAACTATTTTAAAAAGGAACGTGAGAATTCAATGACCATAAAACTATAAAATTAAATTATATGCTATTTTCACAATGGTTTTATGTCTCTTCGGACTGTCAATAAAGTTTGTATTCGCCAATTGAACATCGATTGTCCGAAATCCAAATTTATTCGGGCACACATGTTGTTCGTGCGTACACGTTCAATCATTGTGACACAACAACGTCGCATCTTATTCTCATCTTGATTCGCAATAACACGAACCATGCATTGTGTTGTCGTCCCATGTCTCGGGACACATCGCCATCTAAGTTTGCTCGAACACATCCGTTAGGAGCTGACCCATGTGTCGATCATCTCATCAATATATCCCGAACATCTATTGATTCGGATTCTTTCGAGCATTGAACTCTCACATGTCTATGTTAAACCATTAACGATATACGTTTTAGATAGCAGGTGTATAATCTAACATTCAACACATGGGCTGGAGCGCAATACTAACACATCCATATTGTCCGATATTGTTCTTGAAAAACTCATTTCAAAGGAAGTCATATATATATATATATATATATTTAAAGATTTGAGAAAGTTAAAAACATTTGGGGTAAAGAAAATGCAAAATTTGAGTACGGCGTCGTTTCGAAGTCCGTGGGCGGAATAGCCTAAACCCACAATTCGTCATTTTCATGTAATCCGCTACTTTTTTGTATTTTTCTGGAAGCTTCTGCGGTTCATCGTTGTAGCACAGAACTATTAACAGGAGCAGAACTCAAGCCCATCTCTAAGCTTCTGAATTTCAGCCATGGAAGACGACTTCGATTTCGGTGACAAGGTTCCGCCGGCCGTCAATCGCATGGTACTACTATCCCGATGTCATTTCTTTTCTTCTCTCTACTTTGCCGCCTAATCTAAGATCTCTGTTAATGCAGCTCCTTCTTTCGAGATTTTCATTTGCAGATGCTTCTCTGTGTTTACTTTGATAGTTTACCTATATTCACCGAGGTTTTCTGTTCGGATTTGATCTCATTTTTTTAAATTCGTTCTTCAGGTCTGATCGTCTTTGCAAACAATGTTGTTGATTTTTTTGAGGGATCTGCTCCGAGTAACCTTATAGATTGTTTTCGGTTTGATGAGAGTTTCATTTCTTTTTAAATATTTAATTTTCTTGGTTAATTCTATGCAAATGTGGAATTTCTTTTTCAGTTTGTTCATGCAACTGAATCGAGGACGATGAGAATGCATGATTTCAAAAACTACACTTCTTTTTTAAAATTCTTTGAAATTTCAGGATGCTACATGAATTTGTTAATTTCGTCCTACTTTTATGACCGAACTTAAAATTGGAGGATTGTGGAATTGTTCCTTTTCAGTTGACAAGAATAATTGTCCTGACCTGTTTTGATATTGTTAAATTAGAGAATGTTCCATACATCTCTGATTCTGATGTGTTATCCTCAGCATCTTTCATTGCTAATAATCAGATTAACGATTAGTCCGAGTACTAGGCTACAGTAGATCTCCTCTCCCTGCTATTGATCTATCTAACTCGAGTTTTGAAGCCAATTTACCTGTACCCTACGAGTTAATATAGTGGATATTCTTCGTATTTAAGTGGAACAATCATGGAAAAGATTCTCTTAATCTGATACATTCACAAGTCAGAAATGGGACATTATCCATCATAATTGGGCTCGAACACTTGTTGTTAATGGCCTTTTTGATGAACATTTTGTTTTTGCTTTCCTGATTTTGAAAATTATGCTTATTGTTTACAAGTTGTTCACCCATTTCAAAACACAGATGAATTCTAAGCTAAAATTGGCCATGGTGCACAGGGGAACGTGATTAGAGACTCAGATGCAAGAGGATTCAATCCAGGGCTGATTGTGCTGCTTGTAGTGGGGGGACTGTTATTGGCCTTCCTTGCTGGGAATTACGCTCTGTACGTGTATGCGCAGAATACACTCCCTCAAAAAAGGAAGAAACCAGTTTCAAAGAAGAAGATGAAGAGGGAGAGATTGAAGCAAGGTATTTCGGCTCCTGGAGAGTAATAGCCTAGTAGTTGTTGTTGTTGTAGTAGTAGTAGACGTTGTGTTCTTGTTTTTTTGTTTTTCTTGTTTGAACCAACAAGTTCTTCCCGTGGATTTCAGTGTTTGAAGAGTTGTTTTGTTTATGCTGTTCAGTTCGTTAAAATCTAAACATCCCAACTAGAAGTTTATCGTCCCTTGCATCCGTAGAGATGAGAAATATGAATAAGAACATAGTTTATATGATATGTTATGCTGTTCTATCTTTCTAAATTAGGAGGATTGAGAGAGATCCATTGGATAATAAAATGATTAGGAGGATTGAGAGCGATCCATTAGATATTTTGGGGTTGATTTTATATTCTTTTGTATTCTGTGTTGGTGTTCTTTTTTCTCGTTTGTTAATAACTCTTAATGTCTTTTTTCCATTTGTAAATAATTTGAAATATCTCAAACTTGAAATGTTTTTTTTTTCTTGAAACGTCTTTTTCCCCGTTTATAAATAACTTGAAATGTCTTTTTTCCCGTTTATAAATAATTTGGAATGTCTTTTTTCCGGTTGTAAATAACTTGGAACGTCTTTTTTCGGTTTGTAAAATAACTTGAAATGTCTAACTATGCAATGTCTTTTACACCGAGGTAAATTTCATTTTAATTCTGTTTTGTTTGTGTTTATTTCATTGTCTGATTTCTCGTAACCTCAAAAATTAGGTTATGACATTTGTGTGACATTTGTCTTTTAACATATATACACATGTATATGGAGAATAGATTTTGCGATGATGAAATTAAATACTCTCAACGAATAATAAGAGGCTCGAAACCTTGAAAATCATAAAACAAGCTTTCAATTATCGATCTTTTCATTATTTTCATTATGTATTGTTTAAAGAAAAAAGACAGTTATTAATAAACCAGTTTGGTTTAAGAAAAAAAAAATTATTTGGGACCTCAAAAGTTAATATCTTCTTCTATCTTCACCAAAGTAATCTCCCTTCATCTTCACCTCTGATACAGCCACCATTACTAAAAAAGAAAGAAACATTTGGCCATAAAGTATAGTTTTAAATTTATGAGTTCAAATGATAAAAGAAACATACAAATCGAAACATTCATCCTCACCAATATTTTCAACATACATATTCTATGCATAAAAGAGCAGTATATTATCCACAAATATGACATGCCGTCTCATTCATACAAAACCTCGTCACTGTATATTTTCTTTTCACTTATATAGTTTTCATGCAGATTCAGCAGAAAGGCACCAACCACTGTAACATAACATGAAAGATGAAGCAGGATGAGGATCTCAGACTCCACGCCCCATGTTCTGTTCGGTAGGTGGGATCATGACTAACACGGGACGAGCATTGAACCCGGGGTGATGCATCCTTCGACGGAGTTCACGGCCTTCCTGGCAAAGTGCACACGTGTGGCACAAGACGTGAGTTGCAAAGTCGCAGACAGATTCACACTGCTCACGCTGAACTTCGTCTTCGACACAGAGTCCGCAACAGCCACATGACCTATGAAACGCCTCGCAGTTACCCTGTTCCATCAGCATATCAAATCAAGTGGTTTCAAATCAGAAGCCAAGATTTAGTGTTAAGAATGGATACAGATAACAAAGAAGTAGGTTTAACTTGCCTCTAGATTGAACGTTCGGCGGATACGGATACGGGAGGGGAACGTAAACCATGGAGCAAGGCAGTTCCAGCCAAAGAAAGAGGTTCCAATTAAGTAGAGACCAGAATATGACATGCAATGGTTTGCAAATGTCCCAGGAGTAGTCCCAAGTCTCTCTGCATTGCTTCCATACAGCATACAAGGAGCCACACTTCCAAGAAGACCTACAAACAGTCATTGTTAGTTGCTTTCCCTTATTCTCTCTAATTTCATTTCAGTTTCTTCACATTTTCATCACTTCCCATACAAAAAATGAGCTACTAATTTCATTGTCGTGGGTTTCTTTTGTAACAGCTCAAGTCCATCGTTAGCAGGTATTGTCCTCTTTGCATTTTTCCTGCCCGGGCTTCCCCTCAATGTTTTAAAACACGTCTGCCAGGGGGAGGTTTCCACACCCTTATAAAGAATGTTTCGATTCCATCTCCAATTGATGTGGAATATAACATCCTTTTTATATTGATTGCAAGGATGGTTTTGCTTTCGCCTCTTCCTTCTCCCACCCCCTCCACTCACCCACCCCTTTCTTTTTGGTGGGATGCAGCAATTTCTTGCAAGAACATTGTATGCCTTCAAGGAATGTTTCTCTTTTGCCTTCCCTCTTCTCACAGTGTTCCCGAACTTACCTTCCTTAGATGTCAAATGTGATTCTGACATCGGTGACCCTTAGACTCATTATGCTATTCGACTGAACTCGTTGTCGAAAGGTTCGTAGCCCTTTCATTTTATAGGGCCGAATAAGCCACAGTTCTATTCCCAACTCGAATGAGAGGGGTGGGTGCCTAGTTCACCAATAGGATGACTATCAATTACCTTGCGTAAATGTCTTTTTTTATTTGAACTCCACATCCACCCCACATTGGAGACATGAAGGATTTCCTTATTGCCTCACTTGAAGATTCAAACGCACCTCTGATTAGGTGTTATATAGAGACCACAAGTCTTAGCCATAGGGTCAGCCCCTTCTTCTCCCCCATGAAGAAAGAGATCAGTCAAACATGGCAACCAAGAAAATGCTGGCATTTATTTAAATGCAATTTGAGTCATTGATGACACCAAGAATTAGACTTGGGTATTTAATGAGGTGGAAGACTTTTGAACTTTATAAACAACATTAAAGACTTGTTTATTTCAACTGGTATGAAACAGCTGGTTATGGACAGAAAATTCAGCTAAACATCCTTTACTGCCTATAGCTGCCTATAGAAATGGTAGCATTGTATTAGAGAAGGAAGCAATTCTGCATAGCCCAGATCTTTTCTGAAACTCTATTTCAAGAAATACACAATACTACCTAGGATGAGCTAAGAGTTCAATGATCAAGGTAAATCCCCTAAGAGTTCAATGATCATCATGAGGATGCGCTACGGTTCACATGATTTCATAATCAGGCATCCTTATCATCTGATTAATCTCTATAAGATCATTAATCAAAAACTACAAAAATAGGGGAACCGATTGAAAATTGTTGGAATTAGAGGACGATCGGATTCAAATTGGTGAGAATCATCATATTGAATCGTCGAGGATAAAGAAATTTCCTCTCGGATGCAATCACAAACCCCAAAAATCAAAGATAAAGGATCACCGAATCAAAAAACCTAAACTCACAGAAAAAACTCAATTCCAATAACAATAAAAAGAAGGAAGCTTACAAACTTCAAGATCGCTGCTGCAGAACTCATCGTGGCGACCGAGACAAGCGCAGAGACCAGTTTCCCATTGAGGCCGACCAACCGGCTCGCCGACCACACTGCCATCAACAGGCAGCCCATCGGCGGTCCATCCATAATCGCCACCGCTGCCCTTATTCTCCTCCGAGGCATCTTTCCGAACAGGAGACGGCGGAGGCACCGCTTCGGGCTTAGCCGCGGTGGAGGTGCGATGGGTATCCTTCTCATCCTCATTTTCAACGACCTTGCCGAGAAGGGGGCTGGATTCCTCAAGGTTTTCGGCGTTGGCCATGATGAATTAGGAGAAGAACGATGCAAAATTCAGAACCCAATGCGAAGAAATGGGGGAGACGAGGTCAGAAACTTAATGGAAGGGCGATTCTTTCCAAATTTTGCTCTCTTACGGGACGGACGGAGGGGAGCGGAAGAACTAAGATTTCGCGGCTCCGCACCGTTTTATCTGGGTTCGGATTACGCCCATAGCTGTAATTAGCAAAAATAAAAAATCATTTTCAAATTATTTAAAATAATACGATTATTTAAAAAATAACTCTTAAACTTTCCTATTATAGCTTTTTAAACTTTTTAAAAAACAAAAAATTAATTAAAAATATTTTTATAATTAGTTCTCGATCGAAATAATATTTTTAATTTTTTTTTTAACATTTATGTGAATTATTGAACTTTCTAAAGTTTAGAAATATTTCCGTTAATTTATTCTATATACACACACATATATTAATACACTAGCTTTAGATTTTTTACTTATTCAAAAGGTTTTCTGCAAAAAAAATAAAAATAAATAATAATAATAATAATAATTAAAATTTAAAAATATTTAGTGAATGAAATAAAACTAAAAAAAAAAACCATAATAACATAGTCTTAATAATTAATAACATTTTGTTCGAGAATTAAGTCATTGAAGAAAATTGCATTTACCATCTCACTTTGTACTAAAAATTGATGTTTTTAATCGATATGGGAATGCATCTCCCTCCATTCTCCAAACTCACTTATAGTTCGAGGCACTCAACAGATCTCTCGCTGACATAGTTGACCTCTAGTAAGATCCCGACACATGTGTTGGGGAAGACCATTAGAAGTATGAGAGCTCGCTTCCATTTTAAACAAGTAAACCAACATACGTTCAACTCGACTCAGTTGACCCCGATAAAAACAATGTTTTTAATAGTTTCTATGGATCATACATATCAAGTGTAATTACAAACCATTTCATTAGAAACTCTCTTAGGAGTCATCGACCAATCACATTTTTAAGATATTTATTTTTATTTACTTCCAAAAAAATATATATATTTAAATACAATTATATATTATAAAGCAAATTGAATCACATTGGGCCTTGGAATAATTACAGTGCCCGGCCCAACCCAATTCGATACATCTGGGCCCAATTCGTTTTATAAATTTTCAATTTAAAAAAAAAAACTATTTTAACTAACAAAAACAATATAAAATCTGAGTTTTGCACTAAATTAAGCTCGATTATCTATTAATTAACCTTGCTAAATTTTATATATATATATATATATATATTTTAGAATTTATTGAAGGCATATAAAAATATTTTCTAAACGATTTTGAATGAAAATAAAAATTTTATGCATATTAAAATATCACGTGAAAAAACTGAATTAGGGGTTAATATAAGTTTCTCACGGTTCATTTTTGGGTCATTTCTATAAAGGTAGGATTGGCGTTTTTTTTTTTTTTTTTAATTTCTTATTATTTTTACTCGAGATTGTACTATGACTAAAAATATTGACCGTAACTCAGATTTTTCATGTAATGCTTTAAAGGACTCGATTAAGGTCTTCTCGAGAGAGTTTGAGTTGTAAGGTCTTATACACATGGTTGCACGTTTTTTCTTCTTCTCCATTTGAACCTTTGTACCATGTCTAGTTATTATAGTAAGAGACACAACGAGAAGAAAAAAAAAAGTTTTTCTAAATGTCCCGTCAACGGTGCCTTAATAAAAAAATAGAGCAATTTAAAACTTATAAATCACAATTAGAATATTAATTGTAGAACTCGAAATGGACCATTTTAATAAATGAAAAGACGAGAATTTCTCTGACCTATGTTGAATAATAACGCTCGTTTATAGATATATAAAATAATTGGAAGACGAATAAGATACATTCAATTATGCATAAATTTATGAAACTACAAAATTAATTATAGACTAATTGATATGGTTTTATTTCTTAAAATAATTATTTGTTAATTATTGTCACATATGACACAACAACAACTCTTCAATTATTATATGACAACTTCATTGGTGGTTAGAAATCAAGAAAAACATTACACAATATGCTCATATAATATGATGTTACATTAGCAATTATTCTAATTATGTATGCATTGAATCAACCATCCTCCACCTACCAACCACATACTATTGACGATGAGGTTGTGATCGGCGAGGAAGGATGAAATTTATTTAAATAATTATATAAATCAAGTCAACTTGAATATAGTTCAATTGATTAGAGTATATATCTCTTCGATCAAGAGGTGTGAGATTCCATATCGGTTGGAGAGGGGAACGAAATATTTCTTATACATGTGTGAAAACATCTCCCTAATAGATGCGTTTGAAAATCGTAACAGGTCAAAGCGGACAATATCTACTAGTAGTGGACTTGGGTGTTACAAATGGTATCAAAGCTAGATATGAGACGATGTGTCATTTTGAAACCGTGTGGCTGAGGGCTAAAACAGACAATATTTGCTAGTAGTGGCCTTTGTGCTATTACAAATGATATTGTAGCCAAACGTCGAGCGGTGTGTCAATGAGTACGTTCGGCTCCCAAGAGGGTAGATTGTGAGATCTAACATTGGTTGGAAATGGGGAAACAAATAAAGGTGTGGAAATCTCTTCTTAATAAACACGTTTTAATATTGTAAGGTTGACATTAGACACTGAATGGTGTGTCAGTGAGGATGCTAAGTTTCGAAAGAGGTAGATTGTGAGATATGGAAATCTCTCCCTAATAGACGCGTTTTAAAACCGTAACAAGTCAAGGCAGACAATATCTACTAGTAATGGACTTGGGTGTTACAAATGGTATTAAAGCCAGACATTCGGCAATATGACATTTTGAAACCGTGAGGTTGAGGGCCAAAACGGACAATATTTGTTAGTGGTGGTCTTTGGACTGTTACAAATGGTATTAGACCAGACACCGAGTGGTGCATCAGCGAGGATGCGTTTTAATACTGTGAGACTGACAGTAAACACCGAACAGTGTGTCAATTAGGACGCTAGCTCCAAAATGGTGGACTGAGAGATTTGAAAATCTTTCCCTAATAGATATTTTTTAAAATTGTGAGTCTGACAACGATACGTAACTTGTCAAATGCTAACGATGAGCTTAAACAGTTATAAAATGTTAAAAATTTGAATACGCACGTTATTGTTTTGTGCACATTTGAATTAAATATATTTAAAATATATTAGTTTTAAAAAATATTTTTAAAAGTATTTAAAATTTCAATATTAAGACGTAGTATTTCCTCCCTACTGTATGTAATGAAAGAGGTAAGGTGAGATGGATATTTGACAGGGTCCGGGAACAACTTCGTTTAGCTAACGAAAGAAATCTGACTCCATAGATTAATTATGTATTTTATTTATAATCTCGTAGAAATTTAGTCTTTTTAATTTTTTTTAATTGTTATAAATTAGGGTAAAATATTTAATTGAAGTATATACATCTTATCTTATCTTGGTTAAATGACATAGGGATAATATGGATTGCAGCCAAAGGAATCCCACGTGGATTAATGGGGGACATGTTTGGTGGGTGACAAAATTAATACCCCTAAGCCATCCAATGCCTAAGTTTTAATATCTCAATTTTCCCTTAAATTATGTCACTATTCTATTCTCAATTATTCAACCTATAATAATACTTTCTTATTCTTATATTATTTTTTTTAACAAAATATAATTTTAAAATGTTTAAAATTATTATTATCATATTTGAAACTACTGCCTTTAATTATTCAAAATTAATTTTTTAATACGGCAAGAATGATTTTTTTTTTTTTTTCTTGTGGCTATTTTCGTACCTACTCGAGGTAGACATCTAATTGTTTATTTGAGAGTATAGCGTATTTAACTTAATTATTCCAACTATTCAATTATATAATTTTTCTTAAATTTTTTAAATTTGAGAAAAATTATATTTATTAAATTTCTAAATAGTAAACTGTAGTTAAATATAAAATTTATTAGAAAATACAAATGGATTTCATAAAGCTTTTAACTTAGGAGCTACATTAGATTAGGTTATGTTAGAAGTTTATTTTCTCAAATTTTAAATTTTTTAACCTTAAAAATATTTATTAAATTTCTAAATAGTAAACTGTAATTAAATATAAAATAAATTTATGGGTAATAGAAATTAAACCTTAATTTGGTATAAATGAGTTCTTAATTTTATAACAAAATGTCACTAATCTCTTAAATACAAAATCTAGATTTAAGAATTTATTATACAAAAACTTAAAAATTGGTATTAAATTTGTAAAATTCAATTAAAGTCAGTATAAAAATCAATACCCAAGATTTGAAATTTGGATTCGATACCTGATAGCCAAGCCAGAGTATTGGCTTGCGATATATTCACATTACTTACTCTTGGCTTCTAAGACTGAATATTATAAGTCATTATAACGATTCGATACTTGATAATCAAGCCAGAGTATTGGCCAGCGATATATTCACGTTACTTACTCTTGGCTTCTAAGATTGAATATTATAAGTCATTATAACGATTCATGCCCATGATTTAAATCAAAATTCGGAATTCGAATTCGACACTTGACGGTTCCGACATTTTCCTACGATATGGTCACGTTACTATGATTGAGCTATCGAAAAGTAAAGTGAACCTTAGAGTTTTTATGATTGACCTATTGAAAAGAAATGTGTTAGGAATCACGACCCTCCATAATGGTATGATATTGTCCACTTTGAGCATAAGCTCTCGTAGCTTTGTTTTAAGCATTTCAAAATACTTCGTACCAATGAATATGTATTCCTTATCTATAAATTCATGATCGTTCCTTAAATTAGTCAACGTGAAACTCCCTCTCAACAGAATATGCACCTTATTCATATAAATAATAACTTTCATTTCATATTTAATAAATTAAGAAAATAGGAATAAATAATAATAATAATAAGAGAATGAATTAAGTTGGCGGCATGTTGGGAAAAGCGCGTGGAACGGTGGTGCAATAATTAACGGTCACGAGGCCGCCAGTTTGGTTTTGCCAGTTGCCAGCTCCTCAGTCCTTAATCTTTATCCGCTTCCCAGTTTTCAAACTAATCCCATTATTAACTCTTAATCTCTTTCTTAATCACTTATTTTTCCTTTTTTTTTTTGTTGCTTTTCCATGCCCTTTTTCGTCTTTTCACTTTTCCTTTTTTCTCTTTTTTCACTTACTTTGACTGTCTTTGTTCATTTTATTTTTTACTTTTAATTTTTTTTATTAATTTAGACTTTATACTTTTTTAATATTTATTTTGATATTTTTGTTAATTATATATGCTATAATTAAATAATAAGTGGGTTTATTAATTAATCAATAAGATCTTTATTAACGTACACCAATTAAAATAGTACTTGAATTGTTAACATAATTCTATTTTCAATAAGAAAGAATAAAATTTGAATAATGTAAAAAGAAAAATAATTAATTTATATAAAAAAAATGTAAAACAACATTATTACCAAATGGGTCTACCTTAATGTTTTAAACTGTATTATTATTATTATCAATGATTGCGAAAGGGGAAATTATCTAAAGGGATAAGCTCTAACTAAAATAGACCATAGTGGTAAATGACTTTCATACCCTTCTTTTATGTATTTATTTATTTTTCTATATTATAATTATTTTCTATTCCAAATTTATAAAGCCTCTCATTATTCAATTTCATAAACGTGCCTTTTTGACTAATTCACAATATTTTAATTTTTTTTAATGGGAATTAGTTACATATTAAAATGAAAATTAAACTAACATTTTATTTACTAAAAAACCTTATTTAAAAACTTCAATTATTATTATTTTTAAATGCACCTTATATTATAAAATAATAAATTGGGTGGAAGACTTAAATATTTAATTTTTTATTTAGATAAAAAAAAATCAAATCCAATTTTAATATGGAAATTTCATCCATAAATATTTTAAAAATACAATTTTAGCTTGAACCGTCATTTAGTTTCCCAAATAGATTAATCATGGTCATCCTTAAAAGAGTGCATAATAGTTCACCGGAGCTCTCTTAAGCTAAACAATTGAAAATACCTTTTAAATTTCTTCTCGTGGGGTTCAGTGGCATAATGTTAAGAGGTCGGGAGACGTGAAGACATGACTCCATTTCTCGTTTATGCATTTGAGTTTCTTTGTGTCTAAGAATTCAGTAAAATTTAACAACTAGAAGGGTAGAAAGTAAGAAAAATTCAAAACCTCCATTAAAGTAAAATTTAAACCAATAAAAATGTCCCTATGTTTTAAATGGATTGGAGGGAGCTGTGAAGAAGAGGAAGAGATTCTTTTAAGATAGCGTGGTAGCTGTGAAGGTAATAGGACCTTTTTCATGGCTTTATTACCCAAACCCAAACCAAAACCAGGAAGTGGGGTCGTCTGATTAGCACAGCCCAGCTACCTTTCCTTCATATTCTCCTCCATATCATTCACCCAAGATCTGATTTCCCCCTTCCCCTTCCCCTTCCCCTTCTTTTCCATTTACAAAAAGCCATATGGAGAGAGACAAACTCTAAATCACACCCTTCCCTCATTCTTCGCCTCCAAATAGGTCCTTGATTTCAAGTAAACACTGAACAAACCAACCTCTCTTCAGATCTGAATCTTCTCTTGCACTCTTTTCAGGTTCTTTCCCCATTTTTTTGATTTTGTTACTGTTTCTTGTAGCTCTTCGCTGGTTGTTTTTGGGGTTATTCATTGCTGTTCTGTAATGGGGTTGTGATTTTGTTTGAAATTTCAATTGGGTTTTCTTTGTTTTGAGTTTTGGAGTTGAATAATCGAATGTTTTGTTCTGGGGTTGTGATTTCTTCTCTGAACTACCAATTTCTCCTCATGGGTTTTGGAATGTTTGCTGATTCAACTCGATAAATCATATGTTTCTTCATTGTTGTGGAGTTTTCTGCTCAAATAGGAAAGAAACTAAGAGATCTAAGACTGATATACTTTACTTATGGCCTTAAGGGGTTTTGGCTAAGGAATGTAAAGAAGATGGGAAAGAAAGAAACATGGTTTTCTTCTGTAAAGAAGGCTCTAAGTCCAGATCCCAAAGAGAAGAAAGATCAGGTATGGGACTTTTCTGAGTATGTTTATGAGTTCTTGTGAGAAAGAATGTTGATAAGTTTCTGATATTATAGCAAAACTCGAAGAAATCGAAGAAGAAATGGTTTGGAAAGCAAAAGCATTGCTATCCAGATTCTACACAGGCTGTGGCTGAGCCATCACCACCGCCCCAGCAAGAAGAGGCACATATAGTTCATTCAGTGAGTGAAGAACACAATGAGCCTTGCTCTGTTGAAGTTGCTACTGCAACAGAAGTGACTTCTGCAGCTGCTCAGGCTAATGAAGCAAGTGTTTCTACTTTTGAGCCTAATGTTGCTACTCCGTTTGTTGCTGCCAAAGTTGTGCACGTCGCGACGGAGACACGATTTGTTGGACTATCTAAGGAGGAAGTTGCAGCAATCAAGATCCAAACAGTGTTTCGTGGATACCTTGTAAGAGTTCCTTATGAAAGTCTTGTCATCTTTCAATTGTAAATGTATAAATGTCTGATAGTTTTGGTATTTTGCTTCAGGCAAGGAGGGCGTTACGGGCATTACGAGGATTGGTGAGGCTGAAATCATTGATGGAGAGTTCTACTGTGAAACGACAAGCCTCGAACACGCTTCGGTGTATGCAGACGTTGGCTCGTGTTCAATCTCAGGTTCATTTTAGGAGGGTTAGGATGTTGGAGGAGAATCAAGCTCTACAGAAACAACTCCTTCAAAAGCATGCGAAAGAGCTCGAGAGCTTGCGGGTATCGTTAGTTACCGTGCTTTTATATGTGTTTGCTCTCATAGCATTGAATCCAAAAGTGAGAGTTTCTTTTATGAGATCCCATATTGGTTGGAGAGGGGAACAAAACATTCCTTATAAGAGTGTAGAAACTTCTCCCTAGCAGTCGCGTTTTAAAATCTTGAGGAGAAACCTGAAAGGGAAATCTTAAAGAGGACAATATCTGCTAGCCATATGCTAGCGAGGACGTTGGTTCCTGAATGGGGGTGGTGGATTGTGAAATCCCACATCGGTTGGAGAGAGAAACGAAACATTATTTATAAGGGTGTGGAAACCTCTTCCTAGCAAACGCGTTTTAAAACCTACCCCTAGCAAATGTGTTGCACTTTGGTTTCTATTGTGATAATAAGTTAAGCCCCTCGTTAATGATTATATTGCAGATTGGGGAGGAATGGGATGACAGTTTACAATCAAAGGAGCAGATTGAAGCTGGTCTAATGAGCAAATATGAGGCTGCAATGAGAAGGGAGAGAGCCCTGGCATATGCCTTCACTCATCAGGTGACATTCTAACATTCTTATCCACAGCTAGTATGTGGTTTGTGATTTGAATTGTTCTACCTCATTGCTGAACTGTTCTGTTTTTCTTTTCCTTATCGAGAGTTAGAGAGTTAGCGAGTTAGCACTGTGAGATCCCACATCGATTGGGGAGGAGAACGAGTACTATCGAGGATGCTGGCCCCAAAGAGGGGTGGATTGTGAGATCCCACATTGATGGAGAGGTGAACGAGTGCCAGCGAGGACGCTGGGCCCTGAGGGGGGTGGATTGTGAGATCCCACATTGGTTGGAGAGGAGAACGAGTGTCAGTGAGGACGCTGGGCCCTGAGGGGAGTGGATTGTGAGATCCCACATCGGTTGGAGAGGGGAACAAGTGTCAGTGAGGACGTTGGGCCCCGAAGGGGGTGGATTGTGAGATCTCACATTGGTTGGAGAGATGAATGAAACATTCTTTATAAGGGCGTGGAAAGGAATGAAATATTCCCACATCGGTTGGAGAGGGGAACAAGTGTCAGTGAGGACGTTGGGCCCCGAAGGGGGTGGATTGTGAGATCTCACATTGGTTGGAGAGATGAATGAAACATTCTTTATAAGGGCGTGGAAAGGAATGAAATATTCTTTATAAGGTGTGGAAACCTCTCCCTAACAGACGTGTTTTAAAATATTGAGGGGAAGTCTGGAAGAGGACAATATTTGCTAGTAATGAGCTTGGGCCGTTATATGCACATTCTCCAACGGTCCAAGATCCAAAGCTTCCCATTTCACATTTTTTTTCTAAACCATTTTACATTCTTCTTCTCGAGTTGTATTTATTTGCTAGAGTATCGAGTTTTCGATGAATGAAATCCCAAGTTTGATTCGAGTATCGTTATCTGTCTACAGCAAACCTGGAAGAACTCTGCAAAGTCTGTAAACCCAGCATTCATGGATCCAAGTAATCCCACCTGGGGTTGGAGCTGGTCGGAGCGATGGAGCGGAGCTCGAGTACATGATGCACCTGACCTGACAGGAAAAGAGTCAAACACCAGTCATTCCGGTAAGAAGACGACGAGTCGTGGCATTGTTGGCGGAGAAATCAGCAAATCATTCGCTCGATTTCAGCTGAACTCAGAGATGGATTCCCCAACAGGCAGCCAGAAAACAACTCACTCTGCTTTCCAACCCTCCTCAACTCCTTCCAAGCTAGCTTCATCTCCTAAAGTAAAAAAAATGAAGCCTCCAAGCCCAAGAATCCTCATGCTTCACGACGACGACTCGAAAAGTATGGTCAGCAGTATGCAGTCCGAAAGATCACGAAGGCACAGCACAGGAGGAGGAGGACCTTCGGCAAGGGACGACGATAACATGTCAACCACGAGTGCCGTTCGGAGTTACATGACACCAACTGAATCAGCAAGAGCAAAATCCAGATTGCAGAGTTCATTAGGAACTCCAGAGAAAGGATCTTCAGCAACAGCAAAGAAACGTCTCTCGTACCCTCCTTCACCCGCCTTGGCAAGACGACATTCAGGTCCGCCCAAGCTCGAAGGCGACGTCGATATCGGAAACAGCATCATCAATGGAGTTGGTGGCTAAATTATGCTGAACAAGATTGGATGAACTGCAGATTTGTTAAAATGGTTAACCTTACAATTTATTTGTTTTTTTTTTATTCCACACACATCATCTATCACTTGAAATGATCCATGAAAAGGGAATTTGTTCATTCTAAATGTGTTTGAATGTGTTCTGGGAATCTGCTAAATTCTTGCGTTTGATACTCAACAGGGCAAGGCAGGACATGTCGTGTGGGTCACTGCTATTTTTACATCTTCCATTGTGATTATTTTTTCCACGAACTTCTGTATTATTTTTTATTTATCCACTTAATTTCTTGATTACTGAAGTTAATCTGTGATTGCATTTATTTTCTCCATTTTTTGTTTGGATAATCGGATAATCAACAGATTTACCGCTAATGTATCGCGTTAGCTTCACGGTTTTAAAACATGTCTACTATGGAAAGGATCTTCTAATACCATTTGTAACAGCTTCCTAGCAGATATGAACTTTATGATTTTAAAATGTGTCTACTATAGAGTGAATCTAGTCCTACTTCGACCAGTGCTTCGTATCGTTTGGTAACTGACTCTAACACCATTTTTTAACAACCCCGCAAGTAGATATGTCCATTACATATCGCCGTTAGTCTCATGCTTTTAAAACGTGTCTACTATGAAAAGAGTCTAGCCCTACCTCGACCCATATCTCGAATGGTTCGATTACTGACTCTGATACCATTTGTAACAGCTCAAGTTTACCGTTAACAAATATTATCTTCTTTACACTTTCCCTCAAGATTTTAAAACGTGTTTGGCTGAGAGGTTTCTACGATTTTATAAGAAATGTTTCATTTTCTTTTCTATTTGAACATTATAATTATATTTATTGTTTATAATATTTTCTTTAAATAGTACGATACATACGGACTTAAAATCGAAACTCTAAATAGGCTATTTGAAATAAAAAAATTGAGACACGCTTGATATCTTTCGATATTATTGTGGGGAATGTTCAAATTCGATGATTTTGACTCGAATTTTGAAGAAAAAAGTCTAAAGCACTGTACGTACGAGCTCAAAACTGAAACCCTAATTGGGTGTATTGAAGCACGTGCATAAAAAACTGAGTCTCGATTGAGATTTTTTGACATTATTGTAAGGGAATGTTCAAATTTGATGAGATTTCAACTCGAATTTCGAAGAAACATAGTCTGTAACACTATAGGTACGAGCTTAAAACTGAAACCCTAATTTATAACGTCGATAGAAGCACGCTTACCTCTTCAACTCCACTTTCTCATCATTACTTTGTTGCCTTTACTTGCAAGTAAAGCTACCTGAAAAGGAGACAAAAATAATAATAATAATAATAATAAATTTTGTGTTTAAGAAAATTTGTAAAAATTAATTCAAATTTAAATTTTATGCCAGGTAGATGGTTGTTATGATGGATATATGCCCTTGGAAGCTGGGGTTGTTATTTAATTGTTTTTAGTTTATAACATTATTTTCTAAAACGAAATGTGACTTACGTTTAAATTGTCTTTACAGACAATTTTCATACAATAAAATAAGTGTCGCACAATCGTTGTCATAATGCTACAAAGAGTGTGATTGTGACAAGTGACATACGATTCCATTCATAATTTAATTCTCTTAAAACTATTCTTTCGATGTAACGTTAGAAAATTTGGTTCATATTATTAATTAATTGTCAATTTTTCTATTAGACTTTATTTTATAAATTTTAGAAATATATTCATTTGGTATGTTTTATTATTGGAAAATTATTGTTATTATTTAATAAATTTTGATAAAATTCAACTTCAAGCTAGGGGTAGAGGCCAAAAGTTTTATTAAATAATAAAATTTGACATTTAAAAGTACATAGAATATTTTATTTTTTTTAATTAAAAAATCGAAAATTTTAGAATTCACTTGCAACTAAGTGTTTGTCATTAAAAATGTCTTTAATATTTAATGATTTTTTTTTTTTTTTTGACGTAGATCAATAAATTAATTAGAAACTAAATATCTTCATAAAATTATAAGAGATTAAATTAAAATAGAATAAAATAAATATTTTATGTCGATGAGATTTTTCACCATAAAAATTAAATTGTTGTAATCTACAAGAACTCATAAGAACCAAATTGTTATTTGGCATCCAAAACCCAACTGGTTCAACGATAAGAATCGTGAAAGAAAATCTCTCTTTAGCGTTCATATGAGCAGCTTGAACGGAAATCCGGCATTTCCTTCTGCACAGAATGGCTATGGCTATGGCTATGGCTATGGCTATGGCAGTGGTCCTCCTGCTCTGTTCATGGAGAAGGTTAACAATCACGGGTCCTTTTCATCACATGGATGCCCACACGTTAGTCAAGAGCAAAGCAATTGAGCGGCGACCCATAATTCAAAGCTCCCACGCAGTTTCTACATATCAATCGGTGAAGTAAAAGCCGAAGTTGTTGAAATCTGATGGCTGAGTTCTATCTTCCAACTCAAAACGAGTTCAGAGTAAGTGATCCTCCCGATTCACGTTACTGTTTCAGCTTCGTCTGTTGAAAACAAAACTTTTCTCTGAGGACAAACATCAAACACCTTGTGGGCATTGCTAATTTCCGCAAATTTTGTTCCCCCCTTGGTTTTTCTGCTAGTTTTCATCTCTTGAAACTTCCTGATTTGCTTGTGATTCCTTATATTCTGGGTTGAGTTCTTAATTTTGGTGTTCTTTTGTTCTTGATATGATTGTTAGCTGCAGTACCACGACATCAATATCTGATCTACTGAGTTTTAGTACAAATTCTCCATGATATTCTTTTTACTGTTTCTCAAATAAACAAACAAAACAGGTTGGCCCAGGGAGGGTTGAAGATTATGAAACTTTACATATTGCCATGATTTGTTGGGGCCATCAGAGCACTGTGAGAAAGTAATGAACTAAAGAAAGTTGAGAAAAAGAGATTCGATAGAGCTTTTCTTTTGGTTTACTTATTTCTTTTCTAAGTGGCTTTGGTTGGTAGAAGTGGGAGTTTCTTTGAAGGGAGTGCTTGTTTTCTTTGTTATGTTTGAATTTTAATGAAATAATTCTCTGAAACTGAAGCAGTTCTTGTGGGTCAGAGAGCTTTGGAGGAGAATATCAACTATTGATTCATCCTGCTTTTGTTCTTCACAAGGAACTGCTAAATATGCAGACTTCAAAGCCCAAGTAAGATTGTGATTCTTCCTTCTTCCTTTTTAGATGATCTTCAAACTGATATTAATTCATCTATGGCTGTGGTGTTGATTCTTTTTCTGTTGTGAGTGCAGAAGTTTGGAAGCACCACTGAGGAAACCTCGACCCGCTGGACAAGTTAAAGCTCTTGGTTCGGATTCTGTTTCGGCTGCCTCAGCTCCATTTTCTATGAGTAAGATGACAAAGGAAAGAAATCCTAAGACTGGTGTAATGAAATCAGTTCAAAGTTCAGTAGTTGAGGTATTTCTCCCTAATAATGATCCTGCTTGTTTGAGAAGCTGTTCTGAATTCAATTTTATGTTATTTAGAATAAAATGTGAGATCCCGGTTGGAGAAAGAAACAAAGCATTCTTTGTAAAGGTGTGAAAACTTTTCCCTAGCAGACAGCGTTTTAAAAACCTTGAGGGGAAGTCCAAAGAGGACAATATCCGCTAGCGGTAGGCTTGGGCTATTACAAATGGTACAGGAGCTAGCCAGCGAGGACGTTGAGCCCTGAAGGATGTTGAGCATCGAAGGGGGTGGACACCGGGCGGTGCGCTTGAGCCTTGAAGGGGGTGGATTTTGAGATCCTACATCGGTTGGGGTGGGGATGAAACATTTTTCTTAAGGGTGTGGAAACCTCTCCCTAACAAACGTGTTTTAAAAACCTTGAGGGGAAGCTTGAAAGGGAAAACTCAAAGAGGACAATATCTGCTAGCGGTGAGCTTGGGCTGTTCTATAAAAACTCGGTGAAAGCATGAGCCAATTTCTTTTCTTTTGATAGCTTTTATCTCTCATTTTCTTCTAGTTAGCTCTCATTTCAAATTAAAGTTCTTGGTTTCTTTAATTCTGCTCAAAATGCCCATTTTTTATTGGAGAAACTGTTCATAAACTTATTTGCATAGCGTATGCATCCTCAAGTCTTTTGCAGATGAGAATTTCTCATTTGCACAATGTTATCCATCTGCAGCTTTGATAACAAATTCACTGTAAATGATTTACATTGTTAGTATATCTTTGAAATCCAGAAAAAACGTCCAAATCGAGTTTCTATGATGGAATCACGGATTGCTCAACTTCAAGATGAACTGAAAAAGGCAAGGGATCAACTAAACACCTCTGAATCATGGAAAAGGAGAGCAAAAGAAGATGCTGAAGAGGCTAAGCAGCAGCTTGAATCCATGTCCTTAGAGCTCAAGGATTCTAGACAGCAATTGGTAGAGCTTTCTGCTTCTGAAGACGAACGAATCCAAGAGCTACGGAAAATTTCGCAGGATCGAGATAGAGCATGGCAGTCTGAGCTTGAGGCCCTCCAAAAACAGCATTTAATGGATTCTGCTGCTTTGGCTGCTGCCATGAATGAAAATCAGAAGCTCAAGCTTCACCTCGAAAGGATAGCCGGTTCGGAGGCGAACCAGAATAGACATGCTGAGATTCAGGGCCTCAGAGTAGAACTCAAAGAAACACTTTCACTGGTGGAGGAACTTAAATCCAAGCTCTCTGATTATGAATATTCTGAAGCTCAAGCTCTTGATGATCTGACAAAAACACAAATGGAGCTAGAAACTGCAAATGCAACCATCGAAACGCTTCGATCAGAGGGAGCGAACGCGATGACCGCGTTCAACTCTGTGTCCTTGGGGTTGGAGCAATCCAAAGAAAAAGTTACATCACTGGAGGCTCTTGTTAGCAAATATCAGGATGATTTGGCTGAGCTTAATTGTATTAGATCTGAAATGGGTCAATTGAGACTAGCATTAGATGTTGCTGATAGAAGGTATCAGGACGAGCAGCTTCGGAGCGGATTACAGATCAGAAGTTCTTATGAAGAAGCGGAATCGGTAAAATCGGAGTCACGTTTGAAAGAGGCTGCATTTGAAGCTGAACTCACTCTAGCCAAGGCACAAATCGAGCAACTGATGACACATCTCGATGATGAGGCTCGACTTCTAAGTATTGCCAAAGATGACGAAACTTCGAACTCGAATCAGAAAACTAAAGAAAGTGAAAACGAACAGCTGAAGAAGTTAGAGGCTGATATTGAGGAGTTGAAGGCAAGCTTGCTAGATAAAGAGACAGAGTTGCAAGGAATCATTGAAGAAAACGATATGCTCCGAATCGACATTCAGAAAATGGAAACGAACGGCGAAAGGACTGATCTGGAAGAACCAGCAAAATCTGCAAATGAAGAGGCTTTAGCCAAGCTCGGCAGTGTAAGCGAAAGCTCGGAAATGGAGGCGGAATTGAGGAGGTTAAGGGTGCAGTTGGATCAATGGAGGAAGGCAGCTGAGGCAGCTGCAGCAATGCTCTCACCAGGGAAAGATGGAAAAGTTGTAGAGATTTCAGGTCCTACTGACAGCAACTATCCTTTGGGCACGTTCTACTCCGATGACCTCGACGACGACTCGACGAAGCAGAAGAATATCAACATGCTGAAAAGGATAGGTGTTCTATGGAAAAAGAATCAAAAGTAGATGGAATTCCAGCAGCATATTCCCTGTAAGTGTTATGCAAATTGGGTTGGCTTCTTCTTTTTTATAATTCTGGCTTGAATTCAAAAGGCAAACAAATATTTTATTTGGATCTGTATAGTATAGTTGAAAAATTGGTATACTAATGGATTTGTGATACACCCGTTACATATCGTCGTCAGTCACACAGTTTTAAAACATTTAAGGGAGAGGTTTCTACACTTTTATAAGGAATACTTTGTTCCCCTCTCCAACCGAGGTGGAATCTCCCAATCCACTCCCTTGGGGACCTAGCATCCTCGCTGGTACATCGCTCGGTGTCTAGCTCTAATACCATTTGTAACAGTCAAAGTTCACCGCTAGCAGATATTGTCAACTTTAACCCGTTACGTATTGATGTCAGTCTCAGAGCTGTAAGAAATGTTTCATTCCCTTCTCCGAAGTGGGATTTTACATTTTTTCATTTTCCTCATAGTTGTAAAAAAAAAAAATGTCTTGATATTGCTTTTGACATTATTTTCAAATGTAAAATAAAAATTAGAGTATTATAAGCATAACAAGATCGTAATTGATAGAAGAAAGAAATGACGATGATCATAACGAATGTTTGAAGATCGCCACTCCGTCCAACCTGATTAATCAGGAGAGTAACAATTGTGAAAACTAATGCACATTATCCAAATATTTTCTTTCACCCCACCAAAGAAAAGCGAGTTAAAACATATAGCCATTAAAACGTGTAACTTCGACCTCAAGAAGTACTTACTGATGTCTAATGTGGATAGTTGATAGTGTGCTTCAGTGTCTCTATGCGTTGTGCGAGGAAGAAAAGTAGAAGTAGGTACTGCGTAGTGTGCTTTGCTAGATTGGAGAAGTAATCGAGTTGGGCCCATAAATATTATATAGGTTGCATCGGGTTGACCCAGTACTTTTCACACTAAACCCGTACCCAACACGAACCAATCAAGTCCTAACAAACCAACCCGTAAAATTCATTTTCTTAGGTTGCATCGGGTTGACCCAGTACTTTTCACACTAAACCCGTACCCAACACGAACCAATCAAGTCCTTACAAACCAACCCCTAAAATTACAGAAAATGAATCCAAAACTTGGAAGACAAAGTGAAGTTGGGGTTCTCATAAAGGGCAAAACAGGTGAGAATATTGGAAAGGACTTCCATGGCAGCTTTCTGCAGTGACTTCACCTGACAATGACCCTTCATGCTTTTAAGCCTTTAACCAAACCACGCCTTACAACCAGACAAAGGCTTGGCTGCTAGCGGCTTGTCCTATTGGGTTTCTCCCAAAATTGAAACCCTTTTTGGTTATCCATTTCGTTTGATTCAAACTACTTGGTTGGTTTTGAGGATCCCCTCCTCCCTTCTCTCTCGGACCCACTTCACCCTAATTCGATTGATCTTATGAGATGACTAGCGGATCGAGAATGTTTGGATGTCAAATGTCTTATGGGACGATCTATTGATCAATAACGTTTGGTCTCCTCCCTTCTCTCTCAGACCCACTTTACCCTAATTCAATCGATCTTATGAGACGATTGACTGATCGAGAATGTTTAAATGTTTAAGTCTTATGGGACGATCGGCTGATTGAAAACGTTTGGCCTCCTCTCTTCTCTCTCAGACCCACTTTACCCTAATTCGATCGATCTTATGAGATGACTGGCTGATCGAGAATGTTTGGGTGTCAAATGTCTTATGAGACGATCCGTTGATCGATAACGTTCAGCCTCCTCCCTTCTCTTTCAAACCCACTTTACCCTGATTCGATCGATCTTACGAAACGACTGATTGATCGAGAATGTTTGGGTGTCAGATATCTTATGGGATGATCGGTTGATCAAAAAAGTTTGGTCTCCTCCCTTCTCTCTCGAACCTACTTTGCCCTAATTTGATCAATCTTATGAAACAACTGACTGATCGAAAATGTTTGGTGGGCAATATCACATCCATTTCTATAATAAGAGGACAATGTCTAAGATGATAAATAATTCTCGTGAACGTTCGATCTCCAATAATTTACGTGAAGTACACATATACACATGAAGTACAAGATCTTAAACAGTGGAAGAGGGCAATCAATAAGGTACAAAAGATAGAGAAATTCCCATAATTCAGAAGAAAGAGTTAAAGGACATGGCACAAAAAATGAAGCTTTTTGTTGGTGGAAATAAGGAACAATCCAAATGGTCAAAAACACAAACAGTAATCTCTGTCTTCAACAAAAAAATATCAGCTGGTTTGGCAGAACATAAACTGTGGTAAAACTTCAACTCAAAGTTTCATAAATTTTTACCTTTCTGAGTAAATTATATAGATCCGAATTGAACCGAACCAAATCAAATCCATCAAATTGGGCGATACGAGTCAATCTATTTGCTTTCATCCCTCTCAAAGAAATCAACCGTATGATTAGGTTTAATAGTAAAAATGAGTTCGACATAACGAATGAGAAACATAGGTGAAATTGAAAGTCTAATATTTTGTTCACAATGTTTAAATAGAATACAAGCTATCAACGGTTGAAAGTAAGAGAAAATATATTCCACAACCTTTATATCTTAAATCAAATTTCATAATAATAGACGGTTACTAGCAGCGGAAATAGAGGGCGGAATGTGGTAGCGGAGGAAAGGTGAGGCTGGAGGAAGGTGGCGAGGTGAGGGCGGGAGAAGAAGGGAATCCTGATGATGCTGCTGAGGCGGAGAAGAAAGGGAGTGAGGATGCTCCACCGTAGGGGGTTGGGATCGGCCAACTCGGTTATCGGTTTGGTGTTCGGGTGGACATGGAGGAGCAATGCCCAAGCTCAGGTCAATATCGCCATGGCTTTCAGATTCAAAGGCAATCTCCATGCCATAATAACAGCTCTGATCAAAATTGGTTACAGCTTCCCTTCCGTTGTGTTTTATGGCTGCCTTATCATATGCTCTGAATTACACCATAAAAAAAAAAAAAAAAACTTTTTAATAATAATAATAATAATTATAATAATTTATTGAGCTTCAATATGAAATGTCTTTTCTGACCTTGCTGCTTCTACCTCACTATCAAACAGCCCAAGATACACATACCTGCAATTACCCCCATGTCACATACCTTCTCAAGGATTTTTTTGGAAATTTATTCCAAAAATAAGTGTATTTATTGTAATTATTATTTTAAAAATATATATACATATATTATAGGTAAATGTTGAAGTTAGGCTAAATTAATAATACAGTTAAATTAAAAAAACGAAAAATACTGTTTGTTAGAAATCTTTAAAACATACCTTTAAAATTTTAAAAGTTATTGAGACTTTTTAAAAAAAAAACTTAAAAAATAATCTTAAATTTTATATAAAAATTAAAAAACGCCCTTACATCATGTTTCAAAAAATACATATAAATTTTTAAAACTTTCATCTCCTCCCCAACCAACGTGGGACATCACAATCCATCACTTCTATTCGAGGCTTTTTGCTTCCTCTAAGGCTCCCCAAATCAGGGAGTCCATCATCCTCACTGACACTCTTTCCATCCTCTAAGGCCCCCCAAACGTCTGGTGTCTGACTCTAATATCATTTGTAACGGCTCAGATACACCGGTAGCATATATTGCTCTCGTTAGACTTTCTCTTTTGGGTTTCCCCGCAAGCTGCATCTACTAAGGAAAAATGGTGGTTTTCCTCCCAATGGACATCACAATCCATCACTTCTATTCGAGGCTTTTTCCTTCCTCTGAGGCCCCCCAATTCAGGGAGTCCATCATCCTCACTGACACTCTTTCCATCCTCCAAGGCCCCCAAATCCACCCCTTTAGGGCCTAACGTCTGGTGTCTGACTCTAATACCATTTGTAACGGCTCAGATACATCGGTAGCATATATTGCCCTCGTTAGACTTTCTCTTTTGGGTTTCCCCACAAGCTGCATCTACTAAGGAAAAATGGTGGTTTTCCTCCCAATGGACATCACAATCCATCACTTCTATTCGAGGCTTTTTGCTTCCTCTAAGGCCCCCAAATCAGGGAGTCCATCATCCTCACTGACACTCTTTCCATCCTCCAAGGCCCCCAAATCCACCCCTTTAGGGCCTAACGTCTGGTGTCTGACTCTAATACCATTTGTAACGACTCAGATACACCGGTAGCATATATTGCCCTCGTTAGACTTTCTCTTTTGGGTTTCCCCGCAAGCTGCATCTACTAGGGAAAAATGGTGGTTTTCCTCCCAATGGACATCACACTAAATTTAAAAATGTTCCTATCTCATTTAAAAAAATACATTAATACCCTAACGAATCAATAAGAGCATTTTTTAATAGGGTAAATTTGAAAATTGTAATTGTTTTTTTTTTTAATTGTATTTTAAAATTTAAAAAAAATATTTGAAAAAAAAAAGTATGAACTTACTTCTTCCCTGAAAACTGGCCCATACGAGCCTCCCATCGGCCGGACTTATGCAGAGTAACCCCTCTGTATTTGGAACTCCCTCGCGAAAACCCATTGCTCTGCCGTCGAAGAATGTGCACAAACTCCTCTTTACTCAAATTCCTCATCTGCAAATCCGCCATTGAAGCCCCAAAACAGAGCTTCACATTCAAACATCACGCAACAACAAACAAACAAACAAACAAACCCTTCAATCTTCCTCACCTCTTTAATCTCCTCTCTGTAGTCGCTGATATCGAAGTTAATATCCGCATGAACACCTCGAAACTTGATTGCCGCTCGATCGTAAGCCCTCGCTGCAGAATGGGCCGTGTCAAAACCGCCTACAACAATCACAACCCCAAATATTTCGATCAAAACGGGTTTTTATGTGAAATTTTAAAGAAATTCATGTTTTTAATCATACCCAAATAGACTTGCTTCCCGTTATCCCTGTGAACAGAAACAATTGATTCATCATGAGCCTCATACCCAGAAAACAGAGGATTTGAAAATGGATACCCAAAACAGAGTAATTGTTGATTGATTACTAACCAGATATGCGACTCCCATCTCCCTGTTCTTCGATAACAAGTAACCCCACGATACTGCGAGCTTCTTGATTTGGGGCCTCGTCGGCCCTTCTTCACCGGCTTAACAGACTGATCCAGCCATTTCCTCTGCGAACAGACGCCGGCGACGGGGTGAAACAGGGCCGTCCGGTCAAGTTGATCTTCGGTGCC